ATATATATATATATATATATATATATTACATATTATTACATACACATTTATTCATATTAATAATTTAATAAATCACAAAATCAATTAAACAATTAAACAAATTTCACAATTAGCATTTAATCACATTTGACAAATAAATAAACATAATGGCATTCAATAAAATAAAATATAAATATTATCACCAATTAATAATAACAATAATAATAGCAATAAAAATAATAATAATAAATCCCAAATAATCCACAAATAAACGGGGCGTTACACCCACACGCCTGAGTTCTTGAATAGCATCAAGTGTTTGGGAACACCGAACCATGAGTTGCATTTAAAGATAGGAACTCCAGTCATGTTGTTGCGGAACATGGATCATTCTATGGGACTCTGCAATGGGACACGGTTGGTTGTGACCAAACTATCCGCTCATGTGCTTGAATGCAAGATATTGACGGGTGATCATGCTGGCGAAAAAGTGTTGATTCCTAGAATGAATATTACTTCTTCTGATCTTAGGGTTCCTTTCAAGTTCCAGCGGCGGCAATTCCCACTTATGGTTTCGTATGCCATGACCATAAACGAGAGTCAGAGACAGTCTTTATCGCATGTTGGTCTTTTTCTAAAGAAACTTGTCTTTAGTCATGGGCAATTATATGTTGCTGTTTCGCGTGTAACTACTAGAAGGGGGTTGAAGATATTAGTTTGTGAGAATGACGAGTTGCCCTGTAATCAAACTTACAATGTTGTGTACAAAGAGGTCTTTAATAATATATGATTGTTTCTTTGTCGAATATTATCTTATTGTACATTTTTCCTGCGTATTAGAAATTTTTTATTGAATATTGCATCTTATAATATAATATTCTCCAAATAAATATATATCGTGCCTCGCACGTGTCACGTACTATATATATCCCGTAAATTTTTTCTGTTTTCATGTATATGGCTATAAGCCTGGATTAATAACCTTACAACTATGCACCCCCTGTATCGCACGGGCACTGTACTAATTCTAAAAAAACCTCAATGGAGAGCTGATTCTCTCAATGGAGGGCTTTTTTCTCTTGTAGAAGAGTGATCTACCATCGGTTTTTCCTCTAATTTAACGTGAGTAATCTTAAGAGTTTGTTGGTTGAGACATCTAGGGCGGGATGGATGACGATTTGGGGGAAAGATTTCATAATTTAAACCTCTCGACAAAAGAAAGTCGGGGCGTGGAATTGGCAACAGATGATATCCGAATTGTTGAGGAGGAATGTAATCGCAGTCTGCTGGGCAAAATCATTGGGGACTGAAAAGCAAGCAAATTCGGGATTAAACGTACGATGGGCATTGTGTGGCAAACAGCACAGCCGATAGAAGTTAAGGAGTTGGGGTTGAATTTCTTTCAATTTATCTTTGGCTGTCAGGAGGATAAAGCGAAAGTGATGGCGGGAGTCAATTGGGTGTTCGAGAACCAATATCTGGTGCTGCAAGAATGGCGGGAAGACCTGACGGCTTTAGATGAGGGATTTAAGGATGTTACCCTGTGGGTTCAGGTTCATAAACTCCCTCTTCATTGGCTGAGCACAGAGGTGGGCATGAAGATAGGAAAATTATTCAAGAAAGTTAAGAATGTGGTTGTCGTTAAAGAGGGGGGAAGCAAAGGCAGTTTTCTTAGATTATTGGTCTCCCAGGACACTGCTGAGGCTCTACCTCGATGTACTAAGATTAAGCTAGGTAACCAACATCTTAATGTTGTGTTCCAGTATGAAAAATTGGTAAGCCTGTGTTTTTCCTGTGGTTTGGTGGGGCACTTGGAAAGGGACTGTAAAACTAGACTGAAGCATATTGAGGAAGGGACGGTGGTGGAAGGACAGTTCGGAGATTGGATGAAAGCAGTGGAGCTAGGGAGGCATATGGGATCATCTACACATTCCCAACCATCACATACTTCAAATGGTCAGAGTAATTCCCAAAAAGTAGGGGAACCATCTTCAGCAACAAAATTCCAGGCAGAGAACAGGATAGGAGAAGGGTGTGAGTGGAATGTAGCTTTAATCACTATAGATGACAATATGGAAAGAGGGGAGGAGATGGAGGATATCCAAGCTAGTGAGAAGGATAGTGGGAGCAGAAGAAGTGTGGAGGTGGAGGATAGAGGCAGTGTGAAGATGCATGGTAAGGAGGTAGTCAGGGAGCTAGAAGAGGGTGAGCAGGGGTGTGTTTCAGCTAAGAAACAAGAGGGGAATCTCAAAGCTCAAAGTGGGACACTGAAGGTCCCTGTGTGGAGGAGGAAGGGACAAGCCAAGGGGAGACTCAATAGAACTGATATTCCAATGGAGATTGTTCCAGTGCTGGGGATTGGTAAGAGACATAGACAGATTTTCGAGCCAGCCATGGAAGTGGGTACTGCGGGGCAAGCTAAAAAAATATGCACTACATCACAGACTGAAAATGAAGTACAGGTGGGGGTAGCCAGCCTTGAATGGCCCCAAGTGGATAAATGAAGACAACCTTGTGGAACTGTAGAGGTCTGGGAGGGCCTTCTACAGTTTCCCAAATCAAGGAGGCCATTAAGGCCCACCTCCGCAGTTTTGTGTTTTTATCTGAGACTAGAAAAAGCAAGTTTTTTATGGAGACAGTGTGTAAGAAGTTGGGTTTTGCGGAGAGGAGGATAATTGTTGAGCCTCTGGGTCAAAGTGGAGGTCTAATGCTGATGTGGAGTAGAGAGGTGGAAGTGCTTCACATAGTTACTCATTCATTTTGTATTCAGGTGAAGTATAAGTCTGAGGAGGTGGTTGTACCTGAGTGGATGATCTTTGTCTATGGGAGTACAGATAGCTATGTGAGGGAGCTGCAATGGAGGGAATTAGAGGATGATAAAGGATTATGGGGAGATAGATGGTGCATTGGGGGAGACTGGAATGCTATTAGGAGTAGCAGTGATAAGAGAGGAGGAAGGGTGAGATCTGAGAGGAGTTGTGATAAATTCAATGCCTTCTGTGCTAACATGGGTATGATGGAGGTCAAAATGGAGGGTTACCCATATACTTAGGGCAACAACAGGCAAGGGGAAGGCTTTGTGGAGGAGAAACTCGATAGACTGTTTGGTTCCTTTGCTTGGGTCTCTTCTTATCCAGGTGCCAAAGTGACCTCTCAATTTAAAAGTGCATCTGACCACTCTATGTTGATCCTGGAGACTGGTACCCAAAAACCAAAAGGCTTCAAGAGATTTGTGTTTGATAAGAAGTGGGTGAAGATGGAGAGGTGTTCTGAGGAGGTAGAACAGGCTTGGAATGAGCAGGTGGAGGGGAATCCCATGGTAAAGGTGAGAGAGAAGATCAAGAAGACAAGAATGGCCATTATAAGGTGGAATAAGTTTTTCAAATCAGACAATGCCAAGAAGATTGAGGACCTTACTTTGAAATTGGAGGAGATGAGGAAGCTGGGGGGTCAAAGAAATTGGGATGAGTGGGAGCAGATCAAGCAAGAGCTAGACCAATCACATTTATCAGAGGAAGTTTTCTGGAGTCAAAAGGCTAGGTTGCAGTGGTTGAGGGAAGGAGACAAGAACACAAAATTCTTTCATGCTATGACTATGCAAAGAAGGAAGAAAAATGCAATTGATAGGCTGGTGGTGGAGCAGAATCAAGTGGTGGAGTCACAGGAGCAGATTGAACTTGCTATCAGCAATTTCTACCAACAACTGTTTGAATCAGAAGGCTCATGGGGGGAGGCTGAAGTGCTACCATTAATTCCTCAATCAATCACTGAATCTATGAATGAAGCTCTGATTGCCTCTGTGGAGGAAGAAGAAGTGAAGGCTGCTCTGTTCTCTATGAATCCAAATAAGGCTCCAGGTAATGATGGCATGACCCCTCTCTTTTATCAGCATTTTTGGCCTATTCTAAAAGAGGACCTTTGTGCTGCGGTGGCTTATTTTTTTGAATCTGGAAGGATGATAACTAGCTGGAATCACATTGTAGTCACTTTAATCCCAAAGATTGATAACCTTGTCTCTATTAATCACTTTAGACCAATTAGCCTCTGCTGTGTTACCTATAAAATTGTGGCTAAAATATTGGCTTCTAGACTGAGAGAGTGCCTTAAATTCTGTATTCATGAAACTCAGTCTGCTTTTGTACCGGATAGACAGCTACTAGATAATGTGGTGATTGCTCATGAGGTCATCCACTTTCTGAATAGACATAGATCTGGTAAAAAATGCTACATGGCAGTCAAACTTGATATGATGAAGGCTTATGACCGAGTAGAGTGGAATTGTGTGGTGAAAACAATGCTTCAGATGGGGTTCCGTAGTATCTTTGTTCAGTGGATTTTTGCATGTATGTCATCTGCAGTTTACTCTTTTAATGTCAATGGGAAGGTTTCTGGTTTTGTGACTTCTTCAAGGGGTATCAGGCAAGGGGACCCCCTGTCCCCTTACCTCTTCATCTTAATCTCAGAAGTCTTTTCCAGATTGATCAGAACCACAGTAAGAGATGGGGATATGCAGGGCCTGAAAATATGTAGAGGTGGGACTACCTTATCTCACCTTTTATTTGCTGATGATACCCTAGTTTTTTGTGCTGCTGATGAATCTAATGCTCTGAGTCTGTTGAGAGTGCTTGCAGTCTATCAAAGTTTTTCTGGGCAAAGGGTAAATCTTGCAAAATCAAATGTGTTCTTCAGTAGAAATACTAGTGAGGTGGTGAAGCATGGGGTGTGCCAGACTCTACATGGGATAGCAATGTGTTCTTCTACCAGATATTTGGGTCTACCAATGGGGTTGGGAAGGTCTAAGAAAGAGGTGTTCAACTTTGTGCTGGAAGCTGTGAGGAAGAGAATCAATAGCTGGACTAATAAACTCTTATCAAAAGCTGGGAAGGAGGTACTGATGAATGCTATTATTAATGCCCTTCCAGTTTTTGTCATGTCTTGTTTTTGCCTTCCTATCAGTATTTGCAAAGAGATTGCTAAGATGAATGCAGATTTCTGGTGGGCTGGAGGGTCTGAGCAGAAGAAAGGTATCTACTGGGTGGCTTGGAAGAAGGTTACTTTACCAAAAGATTCTGGTGGACTGGGATTTAAGGATGTGAGAGTATTTAATGACTCTTTGATACTTAAACAAATCTGGAGATTACTTACTCAGCCCAACACTTTAGTAACCAGGATTTTGAAGGAAAAGTACTTTCCTGCTGGGTGTGTCTTGGAGGCCAAAACTCATAGTTCATCATCTTGGCTCTGGAATTCTTGGGTGAAAGTGATGAATATTTACAGAGAAGGTTTCAGAAGGGAAGTGAAGGATGGGTTGAACACCAAAATCTTGTCTTACCCTTGGGTTATAGGTTTACCTTCTGGGAAGCCAAATCTGAGATCAGAGGATACTGAGCTTCAGCTACAGTGGGTGAATGAACTCCTAACAGAAGATGGCAGAGGTTGGAATAGAGAGCTTGTCCAAGAGTTGTTTACTGAGACATCTTGCAATGCTATTCTGGCAATGACAGGCCTTGACCCCAATGAGAAAGATAGGTGGATTTGGAAGGCAGATGCTAAAGGTAAGTTTTCTGTTTCATCAGCTTACTCTGTTGCAATTAGGAAGAAGCTTCTTAGACTTGACCTGCCTGGCTGTAGCTCCTCTGTGATTTCTGATAAAAAGGCTCGAATGAGGTGCTGGCAGCTGAAGGTTAAGGGGAAGCTAAAACATTTTGTATGGAGATGCTTCACAGATACCTTACCTGTTAGTGTAAATTTGAGCTTAAGGGGAATGCAGGTTGATCAGGTTTGCCAGTGTTGTGGGGATTGTGTGGAAACTGTGGAGCATGTTATGTTCAACTGCACCAGAGCAGTCAAAGTGTGGGGTTTGCACCTGTTTCCTGGGACCAAGCGGCTATATCTGTATCAAAGTTCAAATATTGGTGGGGGAGCTTGGCTGAATTGAACAAGGCACCAACAACCGAAGCCAGGATCCAATTATCGACGTACATATTATGGTGGCTTTGGAAATCGCGTAACTTGTGGGTCTTTCAAAAGGTGTGGATGCCCGAATTGATAGTTGCTCGCAATGCTGTGAAGGAATGGGCAGAATTCAGTAGTTGTCATTTAGTTTGATTTCTTTTTTGCTTTGAGTTTTTGGGTTCGGTTTGGGGCTAGGTTCTTAGGTTCAGTGGCTCCGTGTTAGTGTTTGCTTTAGTTCGGTGTTTTGGTCCGTGTTTGTCTAAGGGGTCAAATCTATGTATTTGCCTTTGGGCGTTTGTATTTTTAGGCGTTTGGTTGAATTGTGTTTGTAGTCCACCGGCGGTGTGGTACTCCATGTATTTTCTTTCTCGGTGTGTTTTGAGCTAGTGTGCTCTACGGTTTGTTTATGAACTATGTATTTTCATTAGTGTTATGAGATGTGTTATTATCATC